CAGACTATTGTTTATTAAATCGTTACCATAAAATGACGAGCAGACTATTGTTTATTAAATCGTTACCATAAAATGACGAGCAGACTATTGTTTATTAAATCGTTACCATAAAATGACGGGGAGAGTATTGTTAGGCAAGTTTGGGCAAGTCTTTTGTTTACCAATCCAATTTATAGAGCGCGGGGATTTTGAATTTTTAACTCCAAAACTCAACCAACCAAGAAAACAAGCAAGACCTAGAAATTTACTTTTCAGAAATGCAATGGCTACGTTATTCCAGTTAGGCTCTCGAGGATATCACGCTACCGTCAATGAATTCAAGACTAATGAAAATACATGTTTTTTTGAAACAATATTATGTGTTGAGCAAATTCATGATAACATCTTTCCATAATTCTTTTAAAAGCAAACACCAAAGTTCAGCAATCAACCAAGCGTAAATCTTCCAAACTCATCAAACTCAAGGAATACTTCGAGTATTTGCTGACTTTTGTATCCAACACAATGCACTTAATGACTCATAAACGATAAACAATAAGACCTACTAAGTTCTTCCTAATTATGCAAAAATCAGCTGAAAATAGTTAGTTCTGTTATCTTGTTCTTTATTATATAAACAGCAATCGTTCTATTTCATACTGGACCATAGTACAATGATTCTGAGTTCCCTTGGCATTCGAGCTTATTAATGCTGTCATATCTCTTTCCTTCAATCATTTTTTGTCACGTGATAAATAAGACACGGCATCAAAACAATTTTATGAATGCACAAATCTACAGAAAGCCCATATCCGATTTAGTTATTGAAAAACACAGGAACCCCATGGCCAATTCGTATTTCCACAGGCAGCCCATCCGATTTAGTTATTGAAAACACAGGAAGCCCATGGCCAAGACCATTTGAAATACCAACATTAATAAATGATTTTATAATAATTTTATATTTGCTTATTTTTTCTATGATTGAGAGTCGATGAGAGGTCGATGAGAGGTCGATGAGAGGTCGATGAGAGGTCGATGAGAGGTCGATGAGAGGTCGATGAGAGGTCGATATAAGATTACCTCCTCTCCTTCTGCTATCAGGCTATCAATAGCTTAGCTATCAGACTATCGATAGCTTAGCTATCAGACTATCGATAGCTTAGCTATCAGGCTATCAATAGCTTAGCTATCAGGCTATCAATAGCTTAGCTATCAGGCTATCGATAGCTTAGCTATCAGGCCATCAATAGCTTAGCTTCTTGGCTATCAATAGGTAATAATCCGTCCTCTTCTCCTCCTCTCCTCTTCCTCTTCTCCTCCTCTCCTCTTCCTCTCTTCCTCCTCTCCTCCTCCTCTCCTCCTTCCGTTCAGTTCATCAATCATTAATTAGAAAAGTTCCCAAGAACAAATAAAAAGATGGAAAATATTGGAAAGATAGTTATGACCGTAAAAATAGAGACAAAAAGCTATACAAATATTGCACTACTTGAAGTTTAAGCTTATACGTTCAGATAGTCGAGTTCGCAACTATGAATGAAGACAGTGCCGCCGGTTGACCGTCGTTTTGTATAGTAAAGTTTTCATTGTCATTCTTTGTTTTCAATACTATAATATTAGCTAGTAGGTTTATGCTAAAACAATTACACAACTCGTTCTCGTTTTGTATAACACAAGTCAAACAGTCGATTCGACGCTAAGCGCCTCATCAACTATCTATTGACTCATAGAAAGCAAGAAGAGTAGTCTAATTGTTAAATAGCCCATTTGATTTTGGCCTCATGAGTTATTGACTCGTACACCATTCGAGCAGCAGGTCTACATGATACATCAAACTATCTAGCTCTAAACTGGCATACCACGTACAGTTGTAAAATTAATCATTTAAAGACAAGCAGAGAAAATCAGGATTTGGTTCAACTAGTCACTTACCCTAACCAGCCGCGACAGCAATACGAAAGCAATACGAAATAATCCTTATTAAAAGCAGTGTAGAGTACAAGAGGCGCTTAATATTCCTCGATAAATCTAGACTAGTTTGGCTTCATTAACGTAGGTAATTTATCGTATTTTTTGCGAAAATTGCGACCGGCAGTGTTGGCGAAAATATTCTAAGTGACATGAACCAAGTGCTCCGTATTCTATGCCGAGTGAATACAGACGATCTTTTTTCGAATCAGTCCAGACTACAGGAAGTGCTTAATATACCATAATAAAGTTAGACTAGTTTGATTCCATTAGCTGTAGCCAGTTCTCGTTTTTTTGGTGAAAGTTTAGACTGCCGGGCATTTAGTCAATCTTAGACCGCGACCGGCTGCCGGGCATTTAGACACTGCGTAATAAATTAGGGAAAGAAAACAATTTCCTTTTTCTTTTGTGGTCAAAATATCCAGGATCTTGAAATAAATAGATCCTAAGCCAAGAAGCAACATTTTATACACAGTCCGCCCAATCTATGGAGTGTTTGATAAGGAAAACAAATAGGAAGTTAATTTAGGGACTTGTAGACCTAATACTTTTTTACTGGGTTGCCTGTGGTACAAGCTACGAATGCAGCAAGTTTTGTTTTCTCGACTTCATGATCTCAAAACGACGACTTCTTGTCGAAAAAAAATCCAAGTATTTTTAAACTTCATTCTTGAAAAATGCATTTTTCTTGCAAGAAATATATTTTTAATAGATACCTTAAGTAGATTTTTCCTATTCATTCGTCAGAAAGAGGAAAAATATGGTATGTTTTGAGGTCATGTAGCCGGCAAAACAAGACTAAACACTTCGTAGGTCTTCATATCGTAACGAAAAAAATACCATATTTTTTCTCTTCTTGGCAAGTTGAGAGCAAAAATCCACTTTAGATATCTACTAAGAATATATTTCTTAAAAGAAAAGCGGATTTTTATCGTTATTTAGTGTGCTAACTTACCTTTCATACGGTGGCCCATTCTCGCATAGCTAAAATCCTGTAGAATGCCGACACTAGAGAAAAACGTTTGCGCATGCGTGCATTTCAGCATGTTTTCTAAGAATTTTGAAGAGTAATTGAGAAAATCAATGTTTGTTTTCTCCAAGTATACAAAAAAGTTCAAGAGTATAGAGTGCAAACAATTAATCCGTGAAACACTAATTACTAAATAGTACAAAATAGTGCTAATTAAACAATAGAAAACAATGGAATTTGCATGAAATTGTGCTATTTAGTATTACTAAAATTGTTTGCACTCTGCTTTTGTCAGACCAAGATACTGTACTAACAAACACAATATGAAAGAATTAGCCTTAAGTTTCAAGCATGGACACTAAGTTTTGGCATTTTATGAAGTCCAATTTATCAGGCATGTTTGAAAGTCAAATTTACTTATGTATTGACTAATTCGCATACGGATTCAGAGCATGCGCAGACGTTTTTCACTCGTGTCTAGAATGCAAGCCACAATGGCCGATTTCATCACGTGACCTCTTAGTGCAAGTCGCATATTATTGAGTTAACAGATCAAAAACAGTTTTCCGCGTTTGATACTCCGATCAAAACACGCGGGATGTTGAGAGAACATGAGTGCAGCGTAGGTTTCCAGCTTCTCGAGTGTTCTCTCGACATCCCAAGTGTTTTGATGAGAGTATCAAACACGGAAAACTGTTTTTTGATCTGTTTTATAAAATAACAAACACGCCAAAAAGGGGGGGAAATATCGTATTATTCTGATATATTTGTAAAGGATGACGCGAGCGTGTTTTGATACCCTCATCAAACATGGTTTTCGACCAATCTTAGCGCGCCTTAATTCTATCCTAATTATTTTATAATGAAACATCTTATTGTCATATCTTCATCATAACTCCCATACTTTCCCTTATAAGCCATACACAGGAACCTTGTTTGGGAGTTATTTCAGTAATATAATCAATAATGGAGGAGAGATCGAGAATTTCAGAAATTTAAAACCTCCCCCCAAATAGCGGTAGTAACAAAGATTTGGTAGTAAATTAGCACCAACAACATACCCGCACATTAGGCACTCCAATGCACGCTCCAAGATCGTCGTCTTTTGTTTCGTTATGGCTCCTTTTGGGGTTTCTGTTTCTGTTTTTTTTTTTTTTTTTKTTTTTKTTTTTTGTTGTTGTTTTTACACACAGCAAATATAACAATGTTAAAAAAAAATAGTCATTACTTCAACCATCACTCCCCATATGGGGATCTTCCGTAAGGTTCCCTCCACACACACTACCACTACATTCTGTATTTACGATATACAACACTCACATGTCGATTTTTACTGAGGGAGGAAAACCAGAGAAACTGGAGAAAAACCCTTGTAACAAGAGAAGGAACAAAACATCAGTAATGATCCAGTCTGAGCCGGGGGTTGGAACCCAGACCACAGTGACGAGAGGTAAACCACTGCGCCACCATGTTACCCAAGCTGTTTCATCCTCCCCTCTCTCCACCTCAACGAAAAACTGCATTTCCCTTAACAATAACAAAATGATCTTGAACAGAGTTGTGAGCCACCTATCATGGCACTCAAATCCTATGATTGACCATGTCGGACCACCTCACACACCAACCCAAATAAAAGTACCATAACTTTCCTGATCTTAAGTGATTTAATAAATAAGGAAAACTATGACATAAACAAAACTATTACGTATTACATATAGATGTTATTCTTTGAGTTAAAATATTTTTGGCTTTCCTTAACAAACATGTTATTTGTAGTGCAATGGTGTCTTATTTCACACAATATTTTTGTTCTACACACTCCCTTATAAAGTTAATTCAATGCATAGTGCAAGCAGTTTAGTTTTCAAGCACAGTTTCTCCAAGAATTGCTTTAGCTTGCTTGAGTTCTTCTGACCCATCCAGATCTTTTTCTGATTCACTCTAAAATACCAACAAAAATGAATTAAATATAATAACAGAAGCATATTTCCACCCTATTAGAAATAATCTAAAGTTAATAAATCAAATTCAGTTTTTCCCATGCTATGGTTAGCAATACAGCAATATTGCAAGAGGTGATGAATTAAAGCACGAAGGTAATGTTAAGATTGAGAAACAGAAGCCACAGCCCACAGCAGTTCTTGGCCAATTAAAATGTGCATGCTATCTACACTAAAGTATTTAAACAAACTAAAACTACAAATAGACTAGTGTGTTTGATTTGTTCAGCTATTAGTGGTCTATTTTCAATGCTTTCAAACTTGTCAGTAGTAAAATACCAGTGAGCGATTTTTTTTTTCTTTAATTGCTAGTGAAATTTCCTTTTTAATAGCCAAATTGATCTATAGCGTTTGGGTAATGACATTTTCTATCCAAACATACAATGCATATATTTTTTGTTTCTGTTTTAAAGCATACAGTAGCTGCAAAACCATATGTTATCAGTTAATTAAGAAGAAGAGCCATGGGCCAAATAGTTCATTCAGCTGTGCCTAGTGACCAATTTGGCTTATACATGCACCCACAGATATATTTACTGTACTAGTACTTTTATCTGCACTGTAAATATAAAAATACAAACTTTTGCACATAGATTCATGCAGTAGGAAGGGCTAACACTTACAACTAAATTCTTTAAATCTTCATATGCTGTTTTGATTCTTCTTTTACAGTCTGGAATCATGATTTTTGATTCTTCAAGGACCTCAATCTGTGAAAACAAAACAAAACCAACAACAAATATATTATATTTTAAGAATAATAAAGATATATTAATTTGACAAAATATTAATATGCAAAAACATTTTACAATAACATACAAATTTCTCGCACGCTGATTGGCTATTTTTTATCATCAGTGAGAGGACAGACAATTAAGCTAACTCGGCTATGCCACACTACTTTGACAATGTAATGACACAATTTTTATCAATAAGAGGACAGAAACATAGAAAAACTGATGTCAATTTGTTAAATGGACAAAAGTCCTGTATTCAAACAAGACACAATAAATTTATAATTAATAAAACCATTAACACACACATCAAGAAACAATTTTCACTTTATATTATACTAGAAAAAGATTATTTCTTCAATGTTACAGTGCAGACATACTAGATCAAACCAAATTACAAAATAAGTTAGCAATGCAATCATGTATGTACTCTAACTTATGAAAACAAAGCATTAACTAAAGCCAAGATCTGATTATATCTGACAAATATCTTACTGTAGCTGTTATCAACAACTCATGTGAATGACTGTTGTTAATATGATAGCATTACTTATGTGAATGTAAAAATATACTGTCAAGCTATATAACCCTAAATTTACATATCTTAAACTTTTAATTATAAAAATGATACTAAGTCAAATTTTTTTTAGTTGGTTTTAGCCATTCCAAAGGCTGTACGAAAAACTGGGTTGAGTTGGCATTATTGCAGTGCATTTTGGAGATGTTTTTAAAATAAACAGTCCTTGTTTTCACAAGGGAAACACTATAATAGCTAGTGGCTAACAAACCTGTGACCCTCGATACATGATCGAATTGGAATTTAGTAGTTGATTTTTGAGGAGGGAAGAAAACTGGAGAACCAGGAGAAAAACCCTTAAAGCACAGTAGAGAACCAACAAACAACCGCTACTCACATATGACACCAAGCCCGGCTGTACATTGATGAGAGGTTATCACTCTCACCGCTATGCCACCCCCTCTTTCCCTTCTCTTTAGAGGACTAAATAAATGCAAACTTGAAAACATATTTTCCTAAAATGGCCCCAAAATGCATTGCAATTCCAACTTAACAGATTTTCCTTCAACCTACAACAGCTAATAAAGAATTGTACCTGTTTATTGACATCATGACTATCTTTGCCCTCTGCCTTCATCTTCTCCACTTTCTGTCCTTGATCCACAACTTCTTTTTCATACATTGTTTTCTCTTTCGACAAGCTACAGGAGATATTCATTAATAAATATTAAACATAATATTCTTTCTTTTATTTATCATTCCCTCCTTATACCTGTTTTTAAATAACAACATAAAGTGGCTGGGGGTTAATTAGAAAACTTATGGTTAATTTAACCCTGAGGCTCAATACTCGATACTAATTCTAGTATCTATGTTTATATATATATATAAATCAATACCCCAAATTAATATATCCCTTTTAAAATTATCTTGGAAGCAAAGCGAACAGAAAAAAAATGGAAAAAACATGGCATAAATTCCATTGTTAGAAAGTAGTTCTATCCTATATTCCATTGAGTCTCACATTCGAAATATTTTCGAAAGGGGACTATTAAACTTTATTTCGAATAAGAATAGGTATAGATAGATGGTTATGAGCCAAACTACACACCACCTCACCCCATGAAAGTACAGTGTATATATCATTGCCAAAAATAAACATGAACTCACTAACACAAAGTGACGAGACAAGCTGCATTCAATGGTAGTGCATTTAGCAGATTTGCGCCCAGCGATTAAAATTTTCATCTGTAATCATTGCTAATATAAAGTTGTTAATCTTAAACACTAAATCTATGGAATCCTAAAATTTGTACAACATTCAGCATATCTAGGATTTATTAAGCGTCTGATAGCTCAAATTTGATTAAGAATTGGAAAATTTGAAAGCCAAATTCTCGCATTACCGTTTAAGCACACCAGTTTTGATCTTCAGTTGACGAAGCCTTGGATCTGCAACAGCTGCCATAGTGAAGAGCAATAACGAACGACGTTAGGATGATTTTGCACAGAAATAGTAGTAAGAGTTTCTGCAGATCTCGTCGATTTCCGATCGCCGCCAAAAATATCAAAATGACATCATAGAGCATACCCTAATGGTATACACCGCTGTACATTTTATGCCGCTGGCTCTTAAGAGCGACTGTCCAGAAATATCGAGCAAAATCGAAAATTTGTGGCCACRATCAAAAAAATAAAAGTCCTTCATTTTTGGTCTGTAGACACTGTTTGATGAGTTTATGAACGTACTGGGGTCGGTTTTTCGATCTACGTAAAAAATCCGGATTTTTTTGAAAAAAACGATTTCACCCCGTGTCGGTCTAAAAATTGCTCAAGAAACGGCTGCGTATTACGCTTTCAAA